TACTACTAAAAGTTTAGCTATAACAACGCAATACTTACCTGTTTATGCAGATATAATAAGACGCTAGAGCACCTTGCGCTCTGCCGCAAGACCCTAGGAGCCTTTAGTTAATAGCCACTTTAACTACCTATACCACTATCTTCCTAGAACAATGGCCTAGCGTATACTGCCTCGCTAATTAGGGATCTAGAGGCTTTTAAAGCCTTTATCTAACTTACACAGTACTACACTAAGGTCTGCCCCTAGTAGCTTACCCTGTGCTGTAATAGCAGCAAACAACTATACTCTTTCCTTACTCTCCTTCCTACTCTTCCTCTCTCCTACTTCTCTAGCACTTAACTGCCTCTAAACACACACAAGGGATCCACCCTAATGTACACACACAGCTTAGTCTCCCTAACTAGATAGGGAGCTGTGGTTCTAAAATAGTAGTAATACCTACGCAGGCAAGAAATACTTTCTAAGGCAGTGGCAGCACTGTAATTCTATAGCTTAGCACGTCGTATATGCCCTTTGGGAGGCGAGATGATGGACTTCATCCTCATCAACTAGACGTAAAATGAATACCAACCAACCAACCAACCAACCACTGTGTACAGCGCGCAGTTAATTAGCTATATCTTTAATATAATAAAGTGTTAGAGCAAATCCTTAGGAATCTAGCTTCCTAATATACTATACAAGCGCCCTCTACTCTGTCTTCTAAAGATTTGCTAATTTAGGGTAGGTATTGCGTGTTAACTGCGTCCTAGCGCGTTGCTGTTAGAGGGTTGTTTTTAACACCTTATAGACTACTGCAGCACGCTGCACGCTTAGTTCCTAGGGCTTCCTAATTACTTAAAGTGCAAGCTTAATTCTGTCTTCTTTTAAGAGTAATTTAAGGTTAAGTAGTTAGTCTATTAAGGTTTAAAGGTGGGACAGCCTAATGGCTTGTTGAGGCGGTCCACTCGCTTAGCTGGCCCACTCGCTATACACTCACGTTATAATAATAAATATATTTGCAAAACCCTCTAAAAATAGCTAATTGCTACCTGTTCCTAGATCCTACCTAGCTACCCTACCTATACCTATACCTAGTCACGTGCTACCCTACCCAAATACTTTAGGTAGGGTACCTAGCATACCCTACCTAGATCCTACCCACAGATCACGTGACTATACCTATACCCTACCTTACCTTACCCATCCGCTAGTCTAGTATCTAGAAGATTCTGCTTAGAAATACTGACAGAGGAGAGGAAGCATAAATACCTCTGCCTTTCCCCCCTCTGTTCGCTCTGTACCTAGCCTAGGAATCTCTACCTAGTATCTAATATAATAACTTGTCTACTATATTACATAATCCTACCTTATCTCTAGGCTGGCGGAATGGGTATACTCCAACGTCCTTCGTGGGTACCCCCCAAAACTTTGTCAATAATACATGGATTCTAGCAAAATAGGGCTTAAAAGAAAGAGAAAAACTACCTCTACATTTCT